GAGGGCAGCGGGGCAGTGGCACGGGAGCAGCGCTGGCAGCACCAAGGGCTGCTGCTCCTTGGCAGAGCTGCTGTGCCAGCCCTGATGTGCCCCAGCTCTGCACACAGACATTGCTGCTGCAGCTCCACACAAGGGAACTAAAGKGGSATCTSTGGGGAGAACTTTGCTGGGAGATCCTTTAGTTTGTTTAAAGGCAGAGAGAGCACAGCTCCTCATGGACACAGTCTGTGAGTAACAGTGAAGACGGAGAGAAACAAAATGAGAAATGGCACAGACAACGACCTTTATTTGTGGACAATATTAAAAAATTAAATCAAAGGAAAAAAGTAAAAACCCGCAACCAGACCCAACAAAAAGCTATCAGAAATGGTTTATCATACAAGTGTTTTGTGAAAATTGGCAACCAGTTTAATGTTTCCGAAATTGTCCAGTGATCAATCTCCACACTGCAGCCTTGAGCTCCTGATTCCTCAGGCTGTAGATGAGAGGGTTCAGGGCTGGAGTAACCACTGAGTACAGAACTGCCAGCATGAGATCCAGGGATGGAGAGGAGATGGAGGGGGGCTTCAGGTGGGCAAACAGGATAGTGCTGAGGAACAGAGAGACCACGGCCAGGTGAGGGAGGCACGTGGAAAAGGCTTTGTGCCGTCCCTGCTCAGAGGGGATCCTCAGCACAGCCATGAAGATCTGAACATAGGAGAAAACAATGAACACAAAACAACCGAGTCCTAAACAGCCACTAACCACAGTGAGCCCAAGTGCCTTGAGGTATGATTGTGCACAGGACAGCTTGAGGATGTGTGGGATTTCACAGAAGAACTGGCCCAGGACATTGCCGTGGCACAGGGGCAGGGAAAATGTATTGGCCCTGTGCAGCAGAGCATTGAGAAAGCCACTGGCCCAGGCAGCTGCTGCCATGTGGGCACAAGCTCTGCTGCCCAGGAGGGTCCCGTAGTGCAGGGGTTTGCAGATGGAYACGTAGCGGTCATAGCACATGATGGTCAGGAGGAAATACTCTGCAGAAATGAAAAAGACAAAGAGAAAGAGCTGTGCAGCACATGCTGTGTAGGAGATGTCCCTGGTGTCCCAGAGGGAATTGTGCATGGCTTTGGGGACAGTGGTGCAGATGGAGCCCAGGTCACTGAGGGCCAGGTTGAGCAGGAAGAAGAACATGGGGCTGTGCAGGTGGTGGCCGCAGGCTACGGCGCTGATGATGAGGCCGTTGGCCAGGAGGGCAGCCAGGGAGATGCCCAGCAAGAGGCAGAAGTGCAGGAGCTGCAGCTGCYGCGTGTCTGCCAATGGCAGCAGGAGGAAGTGGCTGATGGAGCTGCTGTTGGACATTTCTTCACTCTGGGCATCATGAACTGTTGAAAGAAGACAATGACAGGCTGGACAATTGAGTCAATGCTATGCTGTTTTCCTGCACATTTACTCAAAATTACTTCTTTCTTTGGGAAAATGTTACTCTATTTTTTATTTTTGAGCTTAGGTTTGTGCTGTTGAGTTACTGCCTCATCTTCAGCATTGCTCTCAGCCTGAGCACTGAGGA